CCGGCAACAACCACAACGACTGCGCCATCAGCTGCTGCACGGCCGGCACCGGGAACAGTGACGGCAACCTCACCACCTACAGCCGCCCAGGTGAGACTCGGAGTGCGCCGGGGGCGTGCCCACAGGGAGGAGCCCGCGAGGCCAGTCCCGTTCGCTCCCTGTGTGGGAAGAGGGCGTGGACTGCTGTCCACCAAGCAGCCCGGCCGAGAACTTCCTGCTGAGCCTCCATCCCTCGCCCTCCACCAGGAAACTGACCCAGAAAACTGAGGATGTAAATTCTGGAGTAGATAGCACGTCAGGAAAAGTGAGATCGTGTACAAGGATTTTTCCTCAGAAGAGCCTAGTAGTTACAATTTTTAATTGTATTTACTTTCAATCTTTCTTTTTAAGATCTTGAGAACACAAAGGTCAGTAACTCATAGAATCAAGCGAATTATTTAATAGCAACAATAACTATACAGCAGCAACAAGAAAATATTTTGGATAATTAACTGAATTTTTTAAGTTGGATTTTAGAGTAGCAAATACTGAGGATACAAGAAATATGCATATATGTCTCTCTTGCAGGTGTGTCTGCATATATTTGTTTTCTATTGTATGTTTTCGGCTTAGAAGTATATGTAGGTAAATTACTGTGCTCGAAATTTCATGCTAAAACAGTGGTAAAAAAATGGATGTGGAGTATGGAAGATTTAGGAGGACTCAAATAATGAAAATTATACATGGCTTCTTACAAACAAAACAAAACAAAACAAAACACCCCAGTATTCACAGCATAGGAACATGAGCAGAACTGTGGCGAATCCGTGTGACGCTTGAGTAACCCGTGGACTTAGGGGAAGGTGGGGGGAGGTGTCACGCATGGAGAGAGCACGTCATGGCGCCATCTCCCTCTGCCCCTAGGGCAAGTCCTGGGTGGCCACTGGACTCAGGTGCGGCTTACCTGTGTGACCAAGCCTGTGTCTTCCACACTCCGTGATCTGGTTGTCTAGACAGAGAGAGAACTCATGAAGCCCGCAGAGAAAGAAAGACGACGAGAAAGGATGCCCGTGTAAACACATACGCAGGGCTGCGTGTTCTAGCATGGCAGCTACTGGCCACAGACCATGACTTAAGCTTAAATAGGTTAAAAGTAAAACATGGCGTGAAGCTCCATTTCTCATTGACACCAGCCACGCCTCAAGTGGTCAGTAGCTACTGGTGCTGGTGGCTGCTGTGCTGTGCCAGGTCCAGCATCTCAAAGGGCTCTTAAATGGCGCCAGGAGGAAGGACCGGCCAAGAGAATCAAGCATGCCAAGGCCTCGTCGCCTTTCGGTATTTCTTAGTCACCACTCAGCAGAACGGAGCATCTAAGAGTGGGAAGGACTGCTAAGGCCCAGATGAACCAGATATCCCCTCCCTGGCCATTTGGGGTTGAAATGCAAGAGTAGTGGGATCCGTAGGATAGAGAAGGCCCACCCCGTTCCTGAGATCACATTGACGTTTACATCTTCAACAGGGCTGTTCGTTTCTCACTTTAAAAAGATGCCTAGCTAAAAGCAGGTGCTGCCGGTGACCTGCTGACGTTGGTGCCACTTTAGAGTTTCATGAATGAAGTGATGGCGTTTTTGCCATTGAAAATGGACTAGTTTTCCTATTTAAAAATGTTTTATTTTAAATTATGATTTTTGTTCTTTCTGCTGTTTTCACATTTACAAATGCAGGCCTCAGATCTGTTCCTATGTACCAGCTGTTTAATTTCCAAATATTTTAGAAGGGAAGGTGAGGGTGGGAACGAGACAGGAGACGGATCAGGTGGGACTCAGGCCCGTTTGATTCCGTGCCCGGGCTCGCTGCCACAACCCGCATAGTCATCTGCGTTGCTGTTTTCCCTCTCTCGGGGTGTCGTTAGGAAACCGTGAACACATGACTGTGCAGCGTCCTTCCCGGACAGTGATTCTCTTGCATGACCTGGATAAGAACTGGCAGAATCTCTGGGCCCACGGACTGTCCTTTAGCCGGTGCTGCCCGTGTCTTCTGAGCAGAGGAGCTTGAGGAAACCCCGAATCCCCCATTCTCTGATCTGCAAGTCGAGAGGGCTGGCTTGGTCTCGATTCTCGGCCTGGTGCTGTTTCTGTTGCTTCAGCAACTCACTAGTAGCTTCAAATAATTCAGTAGCCAGAGGCTAGCAAGTGCGAGGTTGGCGCGGAGATGCTCGTGCACACGTCGTTTCGGCAGATCCCTGGTAGCGGGGTTGTCCCTGGGAAATTATTTCGAGTTGGATGAAGTGTTTACCTCAGCCTGGCCGAAGTTCGGGATTATTGAGTCCCTATACATATGCCTGCTCCTCCTTTTCAGTTGTTTTCCTCAGGAGGCACAGAGGGGTCTTGGCTCTTTCTGTTGATCCCATGTGGCAGTCACAGCTGCCTTCCGATGCATAAGGCTGCCTAGGCAGACGCGTCGACCAGTAACCCCCTTCCCCCCCCCCCCCCCCCCC